TTACTTGAGTAGGCATGTCTCTGCTGTATAAGTTTCTTGTGCGTCTCTTAGTTGCTGCGCTAATCTCCTTGTCTCTGTCTCCGTCTCCCGCTGCAGTCTCTCTTCCCTGCAGCAGCAGCAACAACAGCAGCAGCAACAGCAGCAGCAGCGGTAGTATTCGTATTAGTAGCAGCAACAGCAGCAGCAGCAGCAGCAGCATCTGGCTGTTCCCCCTATGATATTGGCAGTGTCTCCTCTGCCGTATCTTGCAGCAGCAGAAGCAGCAGCAGCAGCAGCAACAGCAGCAGCAGCAGCAGCAGCAGCAACAGCAGGAGTTACCTTGCTGTATATTCTTCTCTTAGACGGCACTCTAGCTGCTGTCTCTCTGCAGCAGCAGCAGCTTTTGTCTCCGCTAATTCCCTCTCTTGCTGTATCCTTTCTTGCTCTAATTGCTGCTGCAGCTGATGGTGGTGCTGCAGCTCGGCCCTCTCTATAGCACATTGCTTCTGCAGCAACAGCAGCAAACATAGCAGCAGCAGCAGCAGCAGCAGCAAATATAGCAGCAACAGCAGCAGCAGCGGAAGAGATATGGCACAAGCAGCAGCAGCAGAGGAACAACAGCAGCAACAGCAGCATCAGAAGAATCCCTACCTCCACCACCATAACTAGCAGCACCAACAGCAACAGCAGCAACAGCAGCAGCAGCAGCAGCAGCAGCAGCAGCAGCAGCAGCAGAGTACCTCTAGATCTGCTGTCCTTGTCTCTAATCTTGTTAGTAACGCTCGTGAATTTTCTAACTCTTCCTCACGATTTGCTAGATGAGCCTCTAAGGATAATTTAGATCTGCAGCAGCAGCAGCAGCAGCAGTAGCAGTAGCAGCAGCAGCAGCAGCAGCAGTAGCAATAGTAGTAGTAGTAGTAGTAGTAGTAGTAGTAGTAGTAGTAGTAGTAGTAGTAGTAGTAGTAGTAGTAGTAACATATAGTCATCAATACCTGCTGCTGCTGCTGCTGCTGCTGCTGTTGCTGTTGCTGTTGTTGTTGCTGTTGGTGGTGGTGCTGCTGCTGTTCTATTTTGGGGATGAAGCAGCAGCAGCAGCAGCAGCAGCAGAGCAGCAGCAGCAGATAGTAGCAGACTTACTCCTCCATTACACGCAGCTGCTCCTCAAACCTAAAGACAGAAATACAACCATAAACCCTAATCCCTAAACCCTAAACCCTAAACCCTAATCCGTCGCTGCGTCCACAAATGCTTCATGCAGGCTTTGTGCCCGGTGGTTTAGGGTTTAGGGTTTAGGGTTTAGACCCTCGTTAAACCTTCTTAGAGAAAGATATTATATTCTTTAGGAGGGTTTAGGGTTTAGGGTTTAGGGTTTAGGGTGTATATAATTGCCTAATTTTGCATGCAGTTTCTCTTTCTCTTGCTGCAGCATCAACAGCAGCACGAATAGATTCTCTTAATTCATCAGCAGGTAACTGCAGCAGCAATTTGCTGCTAAACCCTCCTGTAAACCCTTCTAGGGTTTTTGCTGCAGGAGAAGATTCGCATAACATTGACCATAACTCGCATAAACGACGACGACAACTTGATAACTCCTCTGTTGCCTGCAAAAAAAAAATACAAACCCTAAACCCTAAACCCTAAACCCTAAACCCTAAACCCTTATAGACAACATAGGGCCATAAAACCTCCACATCCACACAAATTATTTCTCCCTGTAAAGGGGCACTACCTCAAGAGTGAATTGTATTTTAGGGTTTAGGGTTTAGGGTTTTCGAGGGTTTAGGGTTTTCCTAGGGGTTAGGGTTTTCGAGGGTTTAGGGTTTTTCTAGGGTTTAGGGTTTACCTTAGCTGTATCGAATTGCAATTGTGTAGCTCTATGAGCAAGAGAATCTTTTTCTGTCTCTGCAGCACGAAGAAGGGTTTGCGTCTCCTCTAGGGTTTTTTGTGTTTCCTGTAGATGGTGTTGCTGCCTATGGTGTCTCCTTGCTGCTGCATCTGCTTCTTGTGTTAATGCTGCCTTCTCCTGCTGCAGCAAAGATATCTGCTGCTGCAGCAAAGTTATTTGCTGCTGCTGTGTTGATTGATCCTCTAATAAACCCTGAATACGAATCTCCAACTCCTGAACACAAACAACATCAAGGGTTTAGGGTTTAGGGTTTAGGGTTTAGGGTTTAAATAAATATTTTCTTACACGAATAAGGGTTTTATCTTTTCTTGAATTATTTTTGAATCAATTATTTACTTCACCAAAATAAGTATATGAGGGTTTAGGGTTTAGGGTTTAGGGTTTAGGGTTTAGGGTTTAGGGTTTACCCTAATAAGTGTTTTATCTTTTCTTGAACTATTTTTAAATCGATTATTTAATTCATTAATTTCTTCAATTTTATTTTTTAGTAAATTATTTTGTCTTTGTATTTTTTCTTTTTCTTCTTCTTTTTGTATTATACGCGTATTTAATGATTGTATTTCTTCGTTATGTACTACACGTAATTCCTCCCTTTTTTATACACACACCAAACCC